CGCGGCGCTGACGCGGCCGGCCGGGCGGGACAGCGTATAAAAGGGCGCAGCCGGGCGCGCCGAGCCTCCGCAGCCAGCCGCCAGCAGCTCAGCGCCCATCAGCAGCCCCAGCGCCGAGATGCGGGAGATCGTGCACATCCAGGCCGGCCAGTGCGGCAACCAGATTGGGGCCAAGGTGAGGCTGCCCTTCTCCCCGCCAAGCCGGCCTGACTCCCAGCTGGCCGTACCCCGAATGCGGGACTGGGAACAAAGCGGGGAGCCGGCCCGGCCTTGCCCAGGCTCGTTCGGGCCTGGCCTCTCTGTGTGGCGCGCTGGGCTCGGATCATCCCCTCGCCCACCTCCTCTGCGAGCTCGGGGCCAGCGACCCTGGCGCCTTTGCTTGGGCGTGGCCGTCCGTCCTCTCAGGGACCCACCTCCGCCTGAGGAGAGATGGAGGAGTTGGGAGGTTGGGTGGGGCTGTCTTCCCACAGCCGTGTGACTCCCTCCCCCGGACTAGAGAGTGGGGTGTCTGCATCGGACCCGAGCCGACAGCGCCCATCCCGCTCCAGTCCGGAGGTGTCCAGGCCTCAGACTGTCATTATTAGGTGGGGCGAGGGACAGGGAAGCGCTGGGCCCGGATCTGGGGACCGGTGACCTTGGCGCAGCTCTCCCGGCAGGCAGTCCTGCTTAGACAATACCGAGCCGGACCAAGGGGCGACTGTGTCCACCAGGAACTCTGCAGACCCCAACCTGGGAACAAAGCCGAAACCATCAGGGATAGAGCTGCATCTTGAGTGGGTACCCTGACTGTTGTCCCGTGTCACAGACAAGGGGATTGAGGCAGGAAGAGGTGCTGAAGTGAATGGGAGGGGACTTTGTAGCAACCCCCCCTCTCCAGCCCCCATGAGGCAATGTCACAGTCCTCAGTCCAGAGAGTGTCCCTTACCCAAGGTCATACGGCTGACCCCTGTGGAGTTAGCGACTGGGTGGCTGGGGCCCGCTGGCCCCCAGGGGTCCCAGGGAACAATACAGGGAGGGGCCAAGCTCTGGCCTGCAGAACTGTGGCTCCCTGAAAGAAGAGGTGGGAGGGGAGGGGGACCAGGAATGCTTCAGAGGGATGCTGTTGCCATGGAAACCAGGCAAGAACAAAAAGCTCATTACAACGGGAGGGAGGGGCAGCCACGTGGCTGATGAGTAAATTGCAAGTTTGGTTGGTTCTAGGGTGGAGGTTGCTGGGTGGGAGGTGGGGAAGAGTGCTAGTGGGGAGACTCTCTAATCTGTGGAGCGACAGCTGTGCCGCCTCGGTGGGGGAGCTCAAATCAAATCAGGGCTCCTGGGGCAGTGTACACAGCTGGCCCGTCCAGGTCTCAGGGGCCCAGGGCTCATTAAAGTGTCACCGGGGCCAGTTCTGCCCTGAACATCTGCTTCTAGGCAGGCTAGGGGTCACTGTCTGGGAGGGAGCAGGGAGAGGCAGGTGACTCAGGGCTGGGGTAGGGATGGTCCAGTTGTAGGAACCCCAACCCCAGCTCCACGGCTTAGAAGGGCCCACCTGAGATCACCAGGAAAGGGAGCGGAGTGGAGCCATGGGGTCACTGGACAGCATGAGGGGCAGCCTCTGGGTGTGTCTCTGTGGCTCAGTGTGGTGCCCTCCCTTGACTGTGCCAGCACTTCTGGTTCCCTTTGTTTTCCTCGAATTCGTGGTTCCTAAGTGAACATCCTTTTAAACAATGCAAACAATAGAGAGGTGCATTTTAGGAAACACCGTTGTTTCTCCCTTGTCCTCTGGTATCGTTTGGGGATAATCAGGAAATTCAAAGTTCAGTGGGGTTCCTGAAGGAAGTGCTGAGTGGAGAAGGGCTGTGGAAACCTGGCCCATCAAAGAGCATGACTCTAGGAGGCACTCATGGTGGTGTGGGGTCTCTGGTGGGACGAATGAAAGGAGAAGTCACTTGTGCCGGCAGCCGCCACCTCAGCGGGTGGGGTGATGTGGTGTAAGGTGGGGGCTGGCGCCAGGAGGGGGCCCCTTGAATGGCGACACGGTGACGTTAATGCTGTATAACAGCCATCGTTTGCTGGCACTGTTGGACGCAGGACACCCGTCTGAGAAGACCTGCGGAGATAGGTCTTAAGTGGGTGGTGTCTGTGGGGATAAGCCGGGTTGAGCACCTGGGAGGGCCCCCGGGCTGGGAGGAGGTCCATGCGCTCCTTCCAGGGACAAGAATCTGGGACCCCCACGGCACACCCCGGGTTCCACTGGCAGGCCTTCAGACCCATTTCCTAGCTCCTCCTGAGCGCTCTTTGTCTGCTCGCCGACCAGGACCCCTCCTTCCCGGCTGCTGGGTGGGGCCTCCGGGGCGGGGCCCTATCCGGTCAACCAATGGGGAGAGGGATTTTCTGTCGACACTTCTTTCCTCCTTCCCTGCCCCCTCCCCTCCCCCACCCCGCACCCCCGCGCACACACACTGCTTTGCGTCATGCAAGGGTTCCTCTCAACCTCAGCTCAGCCTAATGGGAGACTGGGCGAGGGAGCGGGGGCGCAGGCTCGGGTTGGGGAGCTTCAACACCCCTGCTCTCCCAGCCTGCTTTTGGGGGACGCCCGACTTAACTGCGCCCTCCGAGGCCGTCAGCCCCGGGCGCGGTGAAGGGGTCAGCACCACGGACAGCGGCCGTCTCACAGGGACCCTTGGCCTGGCGTGCCTGCGGAGGAGGCCTCCCACCACCTCTGAAAGAAGGGCGGCCATCCGGGACGGTTTCACATTTGTAGCACTGATAATAAGAAAACATTATTGATTAAATTCCATATATCCTGTAGTACTGTATTTTGCTAAGTAACACTTGCTGTTTTAAATTACTTGAAGTTTTCATTAATTTTAACTGCTCTAGCAATCGTTAATAGATTCCCCTATAAAAGGTGAAAAGTGCAAATATTGCAGCTAAGGCTAACGCTCCCTTTGTCCAGCCCACCGCGGGCCCCTAGATGGTCTCGTCCTCCCTCAGCGCCCTCCTTAAGTGAGTGTGGGGTCTTTATAGGGAAACCAGCCTCATCACAGAGTGTAGCTTCCTCCAGTCTGTGGCAGGGGTTTAACCTCATTAACAACTCCGCCCCAGTCTTCCTGCTACTCGTTGTCATTTTTACTTGAATAGTTTCTGCATGACACCAAATGCACGTGAAGACCACGAAGCTGGCATTGCTGGTGCTTGCCCAGGGCAGGTCTTGTGCTGTACGTGGGCCTGCTCCCACGGCTGCTGTGGGCTTTTGCTGTGAAGGCCCTCTCGTGGTCTGTGGATGGCAGAGAGCCCTGACAACAGCTGGCTGCTAAATGAAAGGCTAACGTTTGAACCTGCCCATCACTCCAGGGGTGGGAAATGGGTGTGGGAAATGTGTGGTCTGCTGAAAGAGGACCGTTTGGAAGAAAGCCTCTGGGCCAGGGAATCAGAATCAACCCAACAGTGTTGGGTCTCATTTGGGTTTGATTCATGTGATGGCAGTAGGGTCACTGTCACCTGGCCCCATACACAAGCTGACAGGGGCTTGTGGCTGTGAGTGTCCCTGAGGCCAAAGGTCAGGGGCCCTACAGGGCTGAGAGGACCACAGAGGCTGCTGCTAGTTTTTTTGTGTTGTTGTTGTTTTTTTGACACAGCCCAGGAGCAGACTGAGGTCCCAAATACCCTGGTGATATGCCTACATTTCTACTTTTCCTAATTACAAAACAAATGTAGACTGGATGCAGGAAGAAGCCACACCAATCACAGAAATGCACCCAGGGGAGGGAGAATCCCTCCCCTTGGAGCGCTGACCTCAGAACACTCTGCTGATGAATCGCCAAGTGGTCATCTGGGCCTTTTACTGTAATCACAATTGGTACTTTTAGCTTCTTTCCATTTATTTTTAAACTTTTTTTTTTTTTTTGGCAACATGGACACATGCACATGACAGGGCCTACTATGAAAAGGCGCCTCTCTCCTGCCTGCCGATGCTGCCCTGCAGGGGCAGCTGCTCCATGTGGGGCCTGTGCCTGTGCCAGGACATCCTTATATAAATGAGCACATGCACACTGTTTTGTAACTTGCTCTTCCCACGGAGCAACCATTGCACCATGTGACTCACATGCACGGCACTTGTGTTCTGGGCCCTTCACACCCATTAACTCATCGGCAAGTCATTCCAGCCCGGAGGAGGGCTCGGAGGAGGGTGGGGAGCGGCTGGCAGCCCTAGAAGTCCCACTGTGTGGTGGGAGTCCCCCACCCAGTGTCCCTGTGTCCCAGCGAAGAGGCCCTGGGCTGGGCAGAGTTCTCTCTGGAGCAGGTGTGTGTGTTGTGCACACCAGGTGCTGGGCAAATGCTTTGCTGGGAGTCACACTGGTCACAGTCAGACAGTGGTTCAGGCGAATGTCGCTGTGAAGAGTGTGGCCTGACTCCTTTTCCACGCCCCTCTCTCGCTAGTCCCACTCTGGAGAGTAAATTCGAGAAGCTCTAAGGACTTCCACCCGTGGCTGGAAGTTGGTAGCTGAAAGTCCAGGCCAAAGGGAGTCCTGGGG